TTGGTAGCTCCTTTACAGCTATATTTATTTCATTTTCTAAGATTGGAGAATTTAAGGTTTCTATCTAGTCTCCTGACAGTTTGGATCATTTCTATGTTTGAAGGTATTCCTTTATTTACTTTGTATTTAAACTGAAATTTGAGGAACATGAAGAAAATAGCAAAATGCTTCAATTTAAAAAAAATATTGTAGTTATAATACAGAAAAGAAATAGCAGTGGAGTTGCTCAGTAATTCAGATGAAAAGATAAAGGAAAAGATCAAGAACTAAAGTCACAACCTTACATTTCTACATTTCACAAAGAAATAAAATAAACTTGACATTATAAACCAAGATGGCAAATGGGGTCTCACAATGATCCCTGAGATTGGTGGGATGGCACATGTGATTGGACCATGCCAATAGAAGGGAATATTTTATTGGAAAGAAATAGATTGGCTAGAACACAAGGCAGGCAAATAGATCTCCTCTTCGAGAAGACCTGCATGGAAGTCCTTAAACATGATGGCAGAGAACACATAGATGAGTAGTCATGAAAGCCACTGGATCACAGTTCTGCCCTCTGCAGCAACAATGATTCTATATTTTTTTCACAAGCAACAGTGAGTCATAAGGCTTCTCCCAAAACCCTGTTCTACAAATTTCCCTACTTGCTTTGGAAGTCACCCTCCATTGACCCTGTCATGGTCTTCCTCTTCCTGATTCCCTTCTCATTTACCCATCCTTTCATCAATTTTTCAGTCTCTCCATTTCTAGTCTTCACACCCAGTTTCTCCAAATAAGTGTTGGTTGAGAATATTTCTGGTTGGATTGCATGTATTTGTTGGTCTATCTCCCTCTTGATCAGATGATTATCTTCTTCCTCCAACTTGGGACCTTATAGGGTTCTATGTCCACATATGTATTCTCATGTACGTGTGAATATAGGTCAACTCTTGGAGAGCAACAGACTGAGCTAAGAGGGAAGATATAACTATTTTTGTTTTTGTTTTCTGGAGAAGGGCCAGAAATAGGGAAGAGCCATTTGTGGAAGGTGACCTTTTATGATGTCCTGGATAGCCCTGGACTGGACCTTGCAGTGAATAAAGCTGAATCTTGGGTGGGGGAGTACAGGAAGATATTTAAAGACCAATGGTAATATCTTGAGCTGCGTCATTACATTCAGAAGCATATGGGAAAGCTGGGCCCATTCTAAAATGCAGGGGTAAAATCCTCCTAAAGGGGACTCAGCCAGCCTGAAGCAGGTAGCCTGCTGTATTTTGCACTAACTGGCAGCTTCAGAATGTGGAAGAGACTTTAGAAATCACGTAGCCTTACCCTCTTATGTTTCAGGTAAGGAAATTGAGGTCCCCAGTAGTGAAATGACTTGCCCAAAGACACATGGGTGGGTTCCAGGCATTACAGTTACTAACTGTTAATAATTTTTAAAAAATCTGAGGCAAAATGTGTTTTTGTCTTTGATCCCAAGTGTTTTCAACATATACTGAAGAACTTTGTCTTAATCCCTGTTAAGACTTAAAGTCAGCTCCTGACTAATCCCTGGAAATGGGGGACAGAGAATACAAATAAATAAAATTTATAGATAATCCCCAAGCCTCATTAATCAATAGCTTTAATCTCATTCCTTTCCCTCTCTAACCATTTCCTAAACCCTTACCCTTCTTATCAGCATTGCTAAAAACCAACCAAACTGACTGGGCTGAACTTCACCTCCTGGTGGTTAAAAAGAATACTGCCCGAGGAGAGAAGTAGGAACCAGACAAGCAGGTCAGCAAAGTGATTTATAGTATCAAAAGACCCAGCCTTACTCTAAGACAGGAGTTCTTAACCCTGTTTATTTCATGGACCTTTCAGGCAGTCTAGTGAAACCTTTGGACTCCTTCACAGAATAATGTTTTTAATCAATGGAAGGAAATGCTTAATTTCAGTTAGCGGTTAGTAAAAATAAAGATGTAAATCCCCCCCCCCCCCACACACACACCAATTCAAGTCCATGGAACCTCTGACATATATCCAAAGGGGTCTGTGGCTTAGGAGGAATAAGCAGTTATTTATATAATAATGTGATTGAAGGCATCAGGAAAGTCTTCAACTCCAAAGACTTTCCCTAGGGCTGGGGTGTCTGAAATTGCTCAGGCTTTCCTCTGGGCTAAGGTATTAGATCTTCAGGAGCCTCTTTTTTACGTTCATTCTGTCCATTCAGACAGAATTATAGAATGTAACAGCTGGAAAGTCTCTTAGAGATTATCCAAACCCAAACTCCTTTTACAGATGAGGAAACTCCGGCCCAGAGAATTTAAGGAACTTCCCTAGAGACCACACAGATAGTCAAGGCAGATCTGGGGCTAAAGCTCTAGTCACTTCCTTTGGCCATAAGCCTTGGAAACATTCACTCAGTTTGGCCTCATCACTTACTTGGCTTCAAGGATGTAGCTAAGAGTAGTCAAGGGAGAGCACCGGGGCAACATTATATGATGTTTTGAGGTCACGAAAAAAAAATCTTGATGAAATAATATGGGACAAACAACTCTGAGATAAGCCCAGATATAGGCAACTCATTAGACTGTTACTATCCATTAACCCTGAATCATGAATTAGTTTATCTACCTCCCCAGGATTATAAGGAAATGGCACACAGTACAAAAAAGTTCTGATAAGGTGAGTTCACCTTCACTGCAGGTGTTTAAGCATGGGTATTCATGGAGCATACAATGGGTGCTGGTGTGAACATTACCATTTGTCCTTCCCCCAAGGCACACCTGGGCTCACAAGGGTGAACACCTCTGTGCTGAAGCAAAAGCTGGATAATCACTTGCTATGAAGGATGATTCTATGCAGACTTGTGAATTGTACAGAGATTTGGAGTATCTCTAACGTCCATCTACCTAAGAGTCTGTGATGAAGTGAGGGTGATGTAATAGGCTTTGCCCAAGGAGTAGATGAGTTATAGGGAAGAGAAAAAATGACAGGTCTGTATGAGGTATCCATGGCCAGAGGGAAACCTTGGGGAACTAGATATCTGAGACAAGAGTGGGATAACAGTAATTGGTATAATAGTAATTTGGAAGTTCAAAAAAAGTATAGGTTTGTCAGGGGGAATAAACTTCTCTGTTCTGGATATGCTGAGTTTGAGATGCTTATGTGACTTTGAGTTTGAGGTGTCTAATAGGTAGCACCATTAGAATGGAGCAAATAACATATTATGTAGGTTGTAAGGAAGGAAAATTCATGACTGATTCTGGGGATCAGAAAAAAACAGAGAAGACAATGCTCTTTGAGTTGGGCTTTAACAAATGAATAGCAATTCAGCAGTATTATTAAATATGTGCTGGGTGAATTACAGAATGTATGATGAGTGAAATTATTACTGCGGTTTTTTATGTGTGTCCCTCCCCAGATTAATCTAAAATGGTCCCTATAATACAGAAGCTCCAGGAACACTATACAGAAGCATTTTCACAGTTGCCTAGAGGAGAATTAAGTCTGGGAGGATCCAATATCATTTCAACACCTACAAAAGCACAGATAAGATCAGAATATTTAAATGAGGGCAGAGTCTAGAATTCTTTGCTTTTGGGGACAACAGCTTCATGAAGCTTTGCTGAAAATGCCCAAGTCACTACTAAACTTCAGGAGAGCTCTGAGGTCACGCATCCACCTCCAAGCTCCATCACTCAAATATCATTGGGGAGGATCCTAGCTCAAGTGTGGTTCACTGAGCTCATTGACAGTGAGAGGGCCAAACTGGAGGAAATACAGGAGAGAGATAGATAGACAGATAGAGACAGAGAGACAGAAAGAGAGAGAGAGAGACAGAGAGAGAGACATAGAGAGAGACAAGTAAAGAGAGACTGATAGAGGGGCAGCTAGGTGGCACAGTGGATAGAGCACCAGCCCTGGATTCAGGAGGACCTGAGTTCAAACCCGGCCTCAGACACATAACACTTACTAGCTGTGTGACTATGGGCAAGTCACTTAACCCCATTACTGAGCCAAAAAAAAAATAATAAAAAAAAGAAAACACTATTGCCCATAATAAGAGAGACTGATAGAAACAGAGACAGACTGAAAGACAGATGAAGAGAGACTGATAGAAATAGAGAGACAGAGAGAGAGTCAGACAGATGGGCAGAGAGAAATTGATAGAAACAGAGACAAAGAGAGATAGAGACAGAGAGACAGAAACAGAGAGGAACAGAAGTAAAGAGGGAGGAAATCCAATTCATTAATAAAGATTACAGATGAAGTCATTTTAATGCAGATAATATGACAGTCATGTAACACTTTGAAATTTGAAATTTCTTTATGTATGTTATTTTATTTCAGATATAGGTAAAGGATTTATTAATGACATAGAAGTATAGTAGAGTACTCAGTGTAAAAAAATTTTTTTGCCCATTTCTGAAAATACCACAGTTCAATCTACCAAAGATGTTTAGGGCTCCTAGTGTTAAAATATGTTTCCCCCACCTCACATTACTCTCTTTAGGGGCTGCTCCCAGACTCCAAAGCTATTAGTCATCCAGAACTATGATGTCCCCTTCTTCCTTCCTTCATCACCTGTGGTTTGACAATCCTTTTATTAGCACAGTACTATATCTTTACCTAAAGTGGGACCAAAATTGGCAATTGGGTGTTTGATGTGGGGGCGTGGTACATCAACAATCTAAAAGCAGACAGAAAAGGTCTTGTTTTTGTTTTTGTTATTCTTAGTGCACAAAAAGAAGATATTTAGTATCCCATGAAAACTGGCAAAGAGAGCTAGCAAACAGGGGGAAAGCCCCCAGAAAAATACAACTACATAGCAAGAAGACATTCATGGAATTTCTTGGACCTATTTTTTGCGTTCACAACTGACAGGTACTGGCAGCCAAGGGCATAAAACCTCTACTGGTAGCTGACTTTCAAATGGGTCTGTGATTTCATCCACTCAGAAATTTCCTCTCCTGATTCAGATCACAGCTCATGTAGGCCAGCCTACCTATCCTGTGTGATTCTTGTCCGTGTCCACCCACAAGGTCATCAGAGGGGCCGGTTCATCCACAATGCTGGAAGTGTTCTTGTTTTCTCCCGACATTAAACAAAACATCTTGATGCAGTAAATGCTCCTGAAAATGTATATAATATTTTGTTCCAATAGTTCCTCTCCCTTAGCCCTTCTTTGCTATGTGGTAGGAGCTTGCTTTCATTATTTGTTCTTTGGGGTCATTACTGGTTTTTCAGGTACTCAGAAAAATATTTTTAGAAGAATATCTAGTCCAACCCCCTATTTTATAGATGAGGAAAACTGTGGCCTCAACTTGCAATACATCTCACAGATTAAGTGATAGCGAAGCAACTTGAATCTAGTCTTCTGATTCAAGTCCAAATTTGTCATTTTATAGTGAAGGAAACTGAGGCATAGAAAGATTAAATGACTCTTCCAAGGTCACAACTAGGCAGTATCTGAGAGCCACATTGCTTCCTAAAGGCAAGTCTCTGAAGTCAATCTGAGCTAACCAGAAGGAGAAACTAGGATTGTGATAGAAAACTTTAGAAAATTATGGAAGGTCAGGTAACCAAATCTCCAAACAACTCACTGGTAAGAAAGAAAGAAAAAAAGAAAGAAAGGAAGGAGGGAAGGAAAGAAGGAAGAACCAAATAAAGAAATAAAGGAACAAATAAATGTCAAAAGGAACTCACAAAAAGCTAAAGGTCAGAGATAAGTTTTATCAAATACTGTTTTCTTTCCTTTAACCTTGTTTTTGACCAGAAAACTACAACACTTGCTTAAGATGAAAGGAATAGTCAGTAAGGTACAGGCCTACTTTTTGTTTGTGATTAAACTTAGAGTCGTCTAATATAATATAGATAATAAAATATATATAATATATATAATATAATATAATAATAGAGTCTTCTTTTCTTGTGGAGGAAGAAATAGAGCCAAAATATGATCAAGCAGTCCAGAAAAGTTGCCAACTATGACAATGCCATTTTAACAGAATTTCTATGTTAAACACCAACTGAGTAATTCTAGTACTGAATTTGCAGCTGATTAGCTGCTAGACCAGAAAGAGAGATTTCAAAGCATACAGCTACAAATTTTCAATGAATTTGCTTTTTAATCAAGGTGTAAAGAATATATTTCTGTTCATCTTTAAGGAACCTGCTGCCAAGCAAAGAAGACACCAGCTATCCTGTAATAGTCTTAGGAAAAACACCTGTTGTCACTTGAGTAAGCACAGAACAAGGTCCCCTAGCCTGAAGAAACTGCTGATTAAGCTTCTCTCCCACAGGGGCTTTTAACTGGGGTCCAGAGACCTTTTTGGGATCTATGGATAAATTTCAGAGGATCCATGAACTTGGGCGGGAAAAACTGTATCTTTATTTTCAGTAACTTCTAACTAAAATTTAATATTTCCTTTGAATTTTGACTTTAAAAAATAAAACACATTTCTTAGAAGGGGTCCACTGGCTTCACTAGACTGCCAAAGGCAGCCATGACACAAAAAGGTTAAGAACTCTTACACACACACAAGAAAAGTATAGAACTCTTGCTCTTCTGCTTTAAGAAAAGTGTGTGCTATCTGCATCCAGAGAAAGAACTGATAAGTAAATGTATAGAATGATTTTACACACCCACACCCACACACACATTTGTATCTAAAGGCAGCCATCTCTAGGGTGGGGGGAACGGGTGAAAAAAAGAGAAAAAATATTTGTATAACTTTATTATGTATTTAAAAGTAATAGTAAGTTGTAGACAATAGCTTTTCAGTTTCATGTGCAATATTTTTATCATATTATGGAAATGCTTGTTTTATTCTATAAATTAAAAATTAATAAATAAAAATAAAAAAAGAAAGGTGTGTTTAGGCTTCTCCTCATGGGTGCAGCAAATGTCAGATATCAACATGGTGCAACTGAAGGTGACCTACACACAATGATTGACAGGATCTTGGGTCTTCAGAGCTGTGTCAGGTGTGAAAGAACTCAGGCATCTAATTTTTTGCCTTTTAAGAACAGGCAGTTAAGGGAAAGGGCATAAAATGATCCAGGAACAGCATATATTCATTCCCAAGAAGGAAATGACAAGAACAAATCAAATAAGAATAACAAAAACACACAGAAACAAACAAACAAACAAAAAAAGCAAAAAAAGAATTTCACAAAGGGATACAATCGCATAGCCTGAAGTTATCAAGACGTGAGTTCAAATCTGGCCTCAGTCACTTAATAGTTGTGTGACACTGAGAAAGTCACTTAACCTTGGCTTGCCTCAGTGCCCTTAAAAGGGTTTTCCTTTAAAATGGCAACAATAATAGCACCTTCTTTTCAGGGTTGTTGTGGGGATAAATTAGAGAATACTTGTAAAACTCTTAACAAAGTGCCTGATACATAGTAAGTGTTATATGTTACTTATCATTGCTATTATTATTTATAGATGTTTGCTCACTGTACCTGACTGTCTTTTGTGTAAGGACTGTCTTTGGTGGGAAGGAAGTTAGTCTGGCAAAGAGTAAACTAACTGTTGCTTTCCCCTTTGAAGATACTAAGAAAAGTAGCTTTTCTTCTGAACCTCATGACCTGTGAAAAAAGCATTGTATCCCCAGACTGCAAATACACAATGTATGGTAGATAGATATAATTTTCACCCAATACGCTCATGGAGACAGGATAGTGAAGGAGTAAATGCCCAGCCCTTCTCCATATCCTCAAAGTGGAAATCCTATTCTCCCTGGAGATGTTTTTACTTAAGAAAGTAATGGAGAAAACTTTAATAATGCATGTTAAACTTGAAAAAGTGTCATGAGTACTTTTTTCTCCTGGAGAGCTGGTTGTTAAACATTTACTAGCATATCACTAGCTACAGGACAAGTTTTATTTAACCTGACAAAAACACAGAATGAATGGGTTTGTACCAGAAGCAGACAAGAAAATTCTCATTCCTGTTTGCAGAAGACATCAAGCAATCTTCCCTTTTGTGCTTAATACAGTGCCTGGCACTTAATGGACGATTAATAAATGTTTATTGATTAATGGGTTCCACCTTCCCTTTAAACATGACCACATGAGAATAACTAGGGGAGGCATATGGCTAGGTTGCTCCCTGGTATACACTGTTCTCTGTTGTGCCTATCTTTTGGATGAAATCTGGGGTGATAAAGATGTAGCCCATGGAGCTTTCTCTAGCTCTAAGTGAGGATGGAGATCCCTGGCTCCTCTTCCACCTTCTCTTGTTAAGACTTCGAATTCCTTTGCTGCCATGGCTCTTGCCTTAATCTATGTGGTCCCTGTTAAAGGCAACATGTGTCCTTCTAAGCCTTCAAATGATGCTAGCCCCTAGCAAGGGTGGGGAACCTGCAGTATGGCCTTCTAGGTCCTTGGGCGTGGCCTTCTAAGTCCAAGTTTTACAGAACAAATCTTTTTCTTAAGGGGATTTGTTCTGTGAAGTTTGGATTCAAAGGGCCGCACTTGAAGGCCTTGAGGCCACAGGTCTCCCACCCCTGAAGAGGCATAAGGTCTCCTATGGAGGCTTTGTCGACGTGAAGGAGACATCTCCTTGTAGCCCAATGTCTCTGTGTCTTTGCGCCTCTGGGAGCCTGTGGGTAGGTCAAGTGTCTATTCCAGTGGCTGTACTTTATCCTTCACAAGAAGGAATTCAGCAATCCTCAAATACTGAAGCTGGGAATTTAAGCCAGCAATTAGAATGAACAAAGATTTTTAAGAACCAGCGCAAGGAAAATTCACACTTCGTTTCCAGAGTTCATATGGTATCTGTGAGAAAATAAAAGCATCCAGACCTTACTCATATTACCGTATGAGTTAACATAAGGAGAGCACTTTGTAAACCTTAAAGCACCATAAAAATGGCACTTTAAATATAAAAAAATATAAATAGTGCTATAAATAGCTGCTACTGCTGCTGCCATTACTACTATATACTTTTGGTACATACTGAGATCCTCAACAAACACACCAAAAGGGACAGAAAAGGCAATGATTAGCAACATATGGCATACATTATAAAGGTGGCAAGAAACAGTTAAGTCATGTGTAAAGTGAGGTGAACAGACTATAGGTTTTTTGAGGTTCCTTCTAACTCTGATATTCTGGGAGGTCAGGAAGTACTTCCAGGCGGAGGGTACTTTGTGAACACAGCTTCTAGTTCCCAAGTGAACACGTACTATTCTTTCTTTGGTGTCCTTCAAACAGCCGGCTGTCTAATCTTAACTTTTTTTTACTACCTTACTCTTTCACCTTTAAATCAACCACTAATTACAGAGGAACAAGGGCCCTGTAATTTTTTTAAAAGCCAAATAAAAATTACAACTGCCTCCGATTAGTGGTTCAAACTGAGAGAGCAATAGGAATTCTGGCCTGTATTCTCCAACTGGTTGCCTCCTCCGTCATCTTTGCTTTCTTACTGATCTTCAATCTCTCCCTGTCTCCTGGCTGCTTCTCTACTGCCTACAAAGTGTCCTTGTCTCCACCTCCTCAAAAAACCCTCACTTGATCTATTTTTCTCTTCTAGCTAATATGCTATGTCATCCTACTTCCTTTCATGAGTAAGGTGCTTCAGAAGACCATGTACAACAGGTGTCTCCACTTTTATTCTTCTCACTCACAGCTCTCTGCAGTCTGGCTTCTGACCTCATCATTCAACAAAACCACCTTCTCCAAAGTTACCAATGATCTCTAAATGGCCAAATCTAATGGCTTCCCCCCCCCCAAATAATCTTTATCCTTCTCAATCTTTCTGTGGCCTTTGATACTGTCAATCACTTTTTTCTTCTTGACACTCTCTTCTTGATAGGGTTTCATGACACTAATCTCTCCTGCTTTTCCACCTACCAGTCTGATTGCTCCTTCTCTGTCTCCTGTGCCGATCTTCACGAAGGCGATGCCTATTAAGAGTGATTGTTTCCAGAGGCTCTGTCCTGGACAGTGTTCTCTTCTCCCTCTATACTATATCTTGGTGATCTTAATAACTCCCATGGTTTCAATGACTTATTTCTATTCTAATGATTGCCAGATGTATTTAACCTCTCTTCTGACCTCCAGTCTTACATTTTTTTGGTGAGATAATCGGGGTTAAGTGACTTGCCCAGGGTTACACAGCTAG